CCGATAACGAGAAGTCGGTAATCTACGTATACTATAAGCGGACAAGTATGTACAAAAACAAGCACCATACCTCAAATTGTGGGCCAACCCGGTCTCCATGGTACAAGAGCAAGATACAAAGCGGGTCAAGGCGCTGAACAAAGCATTTGCGGAGCGGTCACCAAAAGAAATGCAAACTCGACTTAGAAAATGGACAACTTAAGGGATAGTCACCAATCGCAAGTGCTCGATAATGAAGCGCAGTCATTGGTCAATGCAAGGCACACAACTGGTTCACGGGATCCTATGAAACGAAGCAGTCCGCTAAGCAAATGAAGAGAATGATCAAATATGAAGGTCAATATAAAGAGTACGGGATGACAATGAACTATACCTTTTCAACTTCAAGTGAATCCAACCAACCATACTCCATTGGAAACCCCACAAGATTATTGGTATTTCAGCCGTCAAATGTCACCCATTGGACCGGGTCCGTCTAAACCCCATCCAGTTCGAATGAACTTACTTCCCCGTAAACAAACAAGAGTATATTGTAGTGAGTTACCCACCCACCGCCCTCCCGAAACATTCAACCTTGCTCGGGAACGAATGCGATGAAAATTACTTTTTTTCTGGCAATTTCACAATTCCGCCAGCCTTCATTCAATAGCATTCTGAATGGGTGGCGAATCGAATTGCTTCCGAACAACCTTTCTCTCTCGCTCTCTCTCTCTCACTCCTGACTATCTTCCTCGTTCTTCGTTTTGTGAAAGAATTCTCGCAAACCGGAAACCGACACTCCGCACGAAATGACCACTCGCTGTTTGGGCATCCTCGAGCATTTGGTCCCATTTCTTCACGCCTGGTTGATGGTTACCATGGTGGAACCACGTGGTGATAATTCAGCGGAAAAAACTCTTTGGCTCACTGCACAACACTGGTCCGAGAAACAGCGCAACTCGGAGTCTGTCGAAGATACCTCGTCATTCGATGAACGAGTTCCAGGTTAGTTCCGTATCTATTTTCCCCACGAGGTGGTATCACCGGAGTCCCTCACCTCCTGAATGTACTCCTAAGGCTAGTTTATCGTTCAAATTGATGTTTGGCAGATTGAATTGTTATATTGAAGTTGTGAACAGTTCATTAGCCTCGGTGGGATTTGAACCCACGCTCTACCAGCTGAGTTACGAGACCACACCGGTAGTACTGACATTTACACATTTCAAATTTGGTAGAGCGTACACTGTACTGAAGCGTAGCCGGCGTCCATGCGTGGGTTCGAACCGTATCGAGGCTCTACATGACACTTCACTTCCATTTGCTCAAAATAACTCTTTTCGCTTAATGTAACGTCCATCTTCTCATCCATGTAAGGTTATTCAACTGACCTCGACTGCTCATCCGGGAACACGACTTGGAGTAATATTCTCCCACTTAGTCTCTCTGTCGCTATTTGGGTACGCGAAGCTGTAGTCGTTGGTTATCGTATTTTATGCTGTTATGTAAATGTTACATCTTTTGCAAGTGGATTCCGTAGCGTATTCCACACGCGTCTGCTTTGAGACTATGTGCTAAACAAATCTTTATAAAAAGTGAAACGTTCCATGGTTTGCTTGTGGGTGAATTATTATTTGCAGCCATAGTTTACTGGGTTTCTCTCCGACTCTACCTTCCAATTTCCAGTCTTTCTCCTGTTCTTCATCCAAATGGGCAGCCAAAGGACAGCAACTAAAAGCGGTACACGATAGTGCATGGTTAATAGTTGTACAAACTGAACTGCCAGGTTGCTAAGACCGATGCGGGGGATGTCACAACCGGAGCCTTCGGTCAGCTAAATCTGACCCACAAGACAACAAGGGTGGTGTGAGATAAACGCAATTCATTGGGGGCGGGCCGGTGTTCAGTTTATCGGATTATACACCCTTTCGGACGGGGTCAAACGTCCAAGGTACCCCAAACCCCTTGACACCCAATCGACCCGGTAAACACTGCCAGAACCAGAACGTGTTTGTCCGTAGGTCCTTAGGCCTCTTCTGGCGTGGTTTGGAATCAGGGTTTGG